CATTTGAATCTCACGAGAACTCAACAGAACAAGCAGCAGGAACACCCTAATCCCAGCAGCAATAATCTTCAACCTCCAACTTCCCTAAAACCCCTATTGTCTTAAACTGGGAACGCCCTAAACTTGTCTTAAACCGGGAACACCTTAAACTCAAGGAGCGGGGGAAACTTCCTCAAACCTGATCAGCTCTAAACCCGGATCCGMCCTGGTCTTTGAGCAAGGTCACCTTACTAAAGCATACATGCAATGTCCCATTGAATGTCCTCTAAGCAGCATGAGGTATGCTGGCAAGGAAATCTCAATGCATCATTCCTGCTTGTCAATGGCCCTCAGCATTTCCCATCCTTTCACCTTCTGTCTATAGATGTGTTTGGCTATGAGGTGAGTCTCTTGGAAGAGCATAGTGTTGAGTTTTGTTTTTTAATCTAGTCTGCCAGTCTATGTCTTTTGATTGATGTGTTCAGGCCATTTACATTTAATATTATTATTGAGAAATTATTCTTATTCCCTGTCATTTTGAATTCTTTCCAGTTTTTAATTTGAAATAGCTTCTTTTTTTGGTTGACTATACTTCTAGTATAGTTACTCTTTTCTGGATTTCATTTTTATTTTTGATTTCTTCTTCATGAAATATTTTGTTGAGAATGTTTTGTAGTGCAAGCTTTCTGATTGTAAATTCTTTTAACTTTTGTTTACCATGTAAGGTTTTTATTTCAATGTCAAATCTGAAGCTTAGTTTGCAGGGTATGTTATTCTTGGTTGATATCCATTTTCTTTCAGCGCTTGGCATATATTATTCCATGACCTCCTTGCTTTAAGTGTCTAGGTTGAAAAATCAACAGAGAACTGAATTCGTTTTCCCCTGAATGTCACTTGAGTTTTCTATCTGACAACCTTTAGAATTCTATCCTTATTCTCTATATTAGGCATTTTCAAAATAATGTGCCTTAGTGTGGGTCTGTTGTGATTTTGTATGTTTGGGGTCCTGTAAACTTCCAGTATTTGATTTTCCATTTCATTCTTAAGGTTTGGGAAATTTTCAGACATTATTTCATTGAAAAGATTATGCATTCATTTGGTTTGTATCTCTGTGACTTTGTGTATTCCAATAAATTTTGAAGTTTGGGCTTTTCATGTTATCCCACATTGTTTGGAAATTCTGTTCATGATCTTTTTAACATTTTTCCTGCATGCTCAACTTTATTTCAGATATATATTTTGTCTTCACTGCCTAAGACTCTGTCTTCCAGGTGGTCTACTGTGCCAGTGATAGTTTACAATGAGTTTTTTATTTGATTTTTTGATTCCTTCATTTTGTGCATTTCTGTTTGTTTTCTTCAGAATCTCTTTATTGAAATTATCTTTGTTCCCTGTAATTGCTCCCTTACATCATCCTTTACCTTGCATATCAGTTTAACTATGTACATTCTAAATTCCTTCTCTGACATTTATTCACTGTGGTGTCAATGGATTCTGTTTTTGATGTATTTTGGTTTGTTGGAGGCAATTTATACCCTTGCATTTTTGTGTTGTTTGTATGTCTACCCATCTAACAGTTGATTTTGAAGCATTAGGGTTTCTGCCTTGTGGAATTATAGTGTCCCTGAGGGTTTCCTGTATCTTGCAGTTTAGGGGGAGACAGACAGTAACAACAACCAGTGAAAATGATTTACAGCATTAAATCAAATAGCTCAATGTTACAATACTGAGAAATGTTGTTGTTACAATACTGAGAAATTATATGATCAGTTATTACCCACGATGAAATCAGTTTACACAAGGGTTTACAATTTCATGTGGGGACCAAGGGTATAATAGAAGTGTTGAAGTATGTAATGATTATGAGGGAATAAAAACAAAAATAGAGGTAAAAAAATTAAAGAGTGGAAGAGAGAACATTAGAGGTTACCTGTTAGTGGAGGAAAGAAGAGAAACAATTGAAGGAAATGGATAAGTGAGAGAGAAAAAATAATGAAAATTAAAATAAAATAAATGAAGTATATCTAATGCTATCAACTTTTGTAGTCATTTTGACTTTATCTTTATATTGCCTCATTTATTTCCTGTTTTCTCATTTTCACATCCAATGTCCTAGTCTATGTTGTTATTTTTTTTCTGGATAAAACTAATCATCTTTCTTTTGATATCTTACCTTTTCAGTATATCCTTCTCTAATAAGATTAACATTTTAAAGAATAGTAAAATCATGCAATTCTCTACCTCAGAACCTTTAAGTGATTCCCTTTACAATGAATTCTGTGTTACTTGACATGAGAGTTTGGGCTAGAGTGCTTTTCCATTTAATTTACTATATCCTTCTACACTCATCATATTTCAGACATGTCACTTTCTATCTCCTAACATACCATATTTCTTATCTCCAAGCTTTTACTACTACTACCATTCCTTATCATGAACTCTATTCTTGGCATCTGAATGTCAAAATCCCATTAATTTCTTATGTACTAGAAAGCTATTTGGACTGTCTGGCTGGCTTTTTGAATAATCATTAGTGAATTTTGATATTTTAGAAATCTAAGATTGTTATCAGAAATAAATAGCTATCAATTTTTTTCCATTAAGTCTATATTTTAAAAATAATCTATCATGGAGAACTTGACATGAGGAAAATCTTTCAATTCCTGGAAAAAACTATATATTTTCTTTTTATAGATTATTACCTTAACTTTGGGGTTTCTTTTTTTTTTCTTTTTCTTTTCCATGTTAAAGAAATAGTCACAGCCACTGAGTTGACCAAATATAAGTAGTGTCTTATCTTTCAAACTCTGTTACTATATTTAAAACTATTTTCTTGAATAGTTGTATTACATTTGACTGTTAATAAACCCTTTAAGTGTATTTTTTAAAAAATAAAAGAGTAGGGTATGATAAAATAAATAAAGATTGAATCAGTTCACATGCCAGTTTTTCTTTTATGCATTATTTGTCATACTAATCTCTAACAAGCTGATTATATAAGCCTATTCTTTTCTACATAATTATACTTCATTTAAAGCACTTATTTATTTTGGCTTTGTCATGGCTATAATTTTTACATCTGTCCTCTCCAGTGGATAGAAATTCAGTGGAATATGATGAAGGTTTAGGGTAAGGAATGCTTTCTCTGCCTCCCCCAACTTTGGTGACCAAAGCAACCTTCAAGAAATGTAAATTGATTGAGATTCATCAAAGTTAATATGGAGGTGACACAAAAGAATAACATTTCACCCATACCACCTATAGAAGGGAGAAGAAAAAAGCAGAGGGGAAGACAGTGAAGAATGTTTTCCTTCTTCTGGAGACTGGCAGAAAAAGAAGTATTCTCTGCATAATAATGAAGGCCAGTGTAGGAGAAAACACAAGTCCAGAATTTCAAGGTGTCCTTACCATTCCATCAAATATTAATTATTTTTTTATTTTTTTGTTATATATGGATGCAGTGCCTTTATTTGTTTTTATGTGATGCTAGGATCAAACCCAGTGCTTCACTCAAGTGATCTACCTCTGAGCTATAACTCCAGCCCCCTCAATTATCTTTTGATTCACAACTCATACCTTATTTCCTATATAATATATTTTATGATTATTCTAGCCATCAGTTATCTGTAACTGTAATAATACTTATTGTTTATAACTTTAATATATAGGTAACTTTATAAATATATAGTTATATGTATTTATCTATATGTGTGTATTAAAAGTCCAAATGAGTTATGATTACTATTCATCTATATTCATCTTCCCTCTTGAAATTTCTGTAAGGATAAAAATGTTGTATACATTTGTTCTGCTTTTTTGTCTACTAGAGTTTCTGTCATTGTACTTAAGCACATTATCCAAGTCCTAATAATTTATTAATTTAAAAAAAATACCAAAGATTTGGAATTGTGTGTGACATTAATTATTTATCCATTCAATAGACATTTCTTGAAAACGTACTTTATATAAGATACTATTAGTACTGGATTAAAACATTTTAGGAAAATGGAATAATTACTTTTAATCAAAAGAGCAGAGTAAACCTGAAAATTAAAAAAAAACACTTGCTTTAAGTGAATTTAAATAGTATGTACTAATGGCAATGTAATACAATGATTGAAAATATGGGTTTTGTAATTAGAGAATCCTGCCTTTGAGTTGTGTGGTTCACTATGAAGAATTGAGAAATTTGATATGTATTCTGAAGGATTAAATGAGTTAATGTATAAAAATGCTTACCATGGGGTCTGGAACCTTAGAAGTTCTTTAATAATTTTTTAAACTGACTACTTTGAGTGGAATTAAGCCTCTATTTTCCAAGAAATTATTTTCTGATAATCTTGCTTTTACTTTTGTTTGTTTGTTTTCTGGATATATACAAAGTATATTCACACCATTTGTTTCTTCATATATGTACTTTGGGTAATGATGTCCATATCATTCCACCATCATTTCTAACCCCATGCCCCCTCCTTTTCCCTCCCACCCCTTTACCCTATCTAGAGTTCATCTATTCCTCCCATATTCCCCCTCCCTACCTCACTATGAATCAGCCTCCTTATTACTCAGCAATAAAAGAGAATAAAATCATGGCATTTGCAGGTAAGTGGATGGAATTAGAGAATATAATGCTAAGTGAAGTAAGCCAATCCCCCCAAAACAATTGCCAAATGTTTTCTCTGATATTACTTTTACTTTTATGCAAACGGTTTTTCAAATAAGCATCCCATTATATGGGAATAGGATACATAAGATCCATAGGACATAGTATTTCCAACAAAACATTCTGGTATTTAATGATATTAAAAAATTTATTTAAATTTTCTTTATCTTAGGAGATGCATTTTAGTAACCTTTTTGTAAGTGTTGAAGCCAAAGATAGGCTGATCTAGGTCAGGAGAAAAAAAAAGTGTTTCTTACATGTTTATTAGTACAGTAATTTTATTTCCAAATTTTTCTTTTGAAATATAAAATGATAATATCTATTCATCCTCTTCCTACTTGTTTTTAATTGTTATTAGGCAATTCATTCAATTGATTGGCATCATGAGGGCAAACAGTTCATGTGCAGCCATTCAGACGGTAGCTTGACCTTATGGAACCTGAAAAGTCCAAGTCGTCCTTTCCAGACCACAATTCCACATGGTAAGATGTTTGCTTTCAAAATAAATACTGGAGATATAGTGTCTTGACTTGAAATTGGAGGAGTGGTATTATGTGTTTGGTTAAAAAAAAAGTTAATATGATGTGGTTTCTGGTTCTAAATATCTCCATACTTTCTACAGATTCCCACATAATATTCCCCAAGTTTCTATGTTTCACTCTTACCCATGTTTTTACTTTGTGAGTCATACTTACACAGAGACTGGCCCAACAAAAAATTTGATAATGGATGATTGATATATCTCAGAAGAGATAATGCAGGAAATAAGGCCAGTATCAAGAGGTGAAGAGCAAGTAAAAGAATGGTATTATATAGATCTGACTTTCTGACTTAATCCATATACAACCTCATTGTGCATTGATTTATAGATTCTTCCACTTACTCTGTTCCTTCCATTTGATTCCATTTAACTAGGAAGACTGTGGTTTTAATTATATTTTATTATCTTTCATAAATGGATATTTAGATCCTATATAAATATTTATATTGAGCTGTACCTGAGAATAAAAAATTCAGATGTCTAAATATTAATAATTGGGATGACCAAATTATTTCAAATATTATTGGTGATGATCTGAATTCCATGTCTACCTCATACCATTGATTATTTGTAATCATAGAAAGGTCAAAACATAACAGTTAATCAAATACACACTATTGTGAAGTTTCTGAGTATTTATTATTATATGACATTTAGAAAGTAGTGGTATGTTTTCTATAATAGGTGATCCATAGGTTATATTATTTCATGTTCCATCAATCTACCATTTTTTTGTGCCACAATTGTAGGCTCTATATGCAAAGCCTTAAATTATTGCCACATTAACCTAACTGCTTTACTTAGAGATTACATTACATTTATACATTTACTTAAAAATGCTTTTTTAAGAGATTGACATGGAAACCTTGGATAGGTATTTGCTATACATGCAACTTAGAATTGACTGTTTGCTTCTATGATATTTCCATATTCCCTTCACCCCTCCCCCAAATTCACATCTTTTATATGTAAAAAAGTATTATGACGATGTATTCAATTTATACTTAATTCAATATATCATCAAAATTTAACTTCTATTAATTCATTTTGGGTGATTGAATATTTGATACTTTTATATTTACCATGTGTCAGGGTGGAGGCTCAGAYCCAGGAAACAGATTCAGGATCCCACAGGTTGAAGGAGGTGCAAGATGCAATTGGGCTAGTAGGCATGCTTTATTTGGAGGCCTCTAGCCAGCTGCCAGCTCTACTTCAGCCCCCAGCCAGTTCCATTTTGTCCCCTGAGTCCTTTCCATAGGCAACAGGTTAAATCAGTGCACACATACTCACAAGCAAATGTTTATGATCTTGACTACATATGCTGATTCAGATGTTTATAACCTTGACTACACCCTACAAACATGGCCCATCAGAAGCCTCAGAAAGGGAGCCTAACTATAGCCATTTGGGGCCTTCCCTACAGCATATAAATGTTTATTAGTTTGTGTTGTCTATAATTCTGCTTTTCTGTTGAAATAGTTCTTGTCCATGGTGAAAACAGTAAGTTTACATAAGGATTTACAATTTCACATGATGGCTAGGGGTATAATAGAAGTGATGTAGATGATTATGAGGGAAGAGATGCAAAAATAGAGGTAAAAAGTTAAAGGGGGGAGAGAGAGCATTAGAGGTTGGCAGAGGAAAAGAAAGAGAGTTGAGGGAAATTGATAAGTGAGAGAAAAAATAAATAAAAATTATTGTTCTATGAATAATATCATTCTTAAAATAAAATGGTAGAAATGAGAAACAAAATAGGATATAGGAGTATGTCTATATTTCCTGTTAAAGATAGAGTAAGAGGAAAGGAAGAAGAGATGGAGCAATAGAAAAAGGTTTGTAGATTCTAGAACTGGGTGAGGTTTATGCAGAGGCGATGTAGGGTGTATTTTTAAGAGACAAGAACATAAAACAAAACAAAAACCCAAATAACAATAATTAAAGAAAAAGAATAGAAGTGTAAAACTTAAAGGAAGAGTGAAAGCAGTAGAGTTTGGCTGTTGGCAAGAAAAAAGAGAAAAGTAAAAACAAAGGAAAATAGTTGTGAAATAGTCAATAGAAAGTCAATTGGCACCTTTATGAAAACACAAATAACTGGGCTGGGCGAAAGCAGAACTCAAATGGATCAGCAAGCTTTCCTTTATTCAACAGCAGCACCAATCAGGCACTAGAAGGTATGAAAATGGCCATCAGTTACAGAAGGGGTTTGAGTTTTATGGGACACAATGATGGTGGATTAAGTATCACTGGAGACTGAGGCAGATGTGTTTTGCAGTCAGGAAAAAAGTTGTAAAAGGCCTGGAACTCATTGTCACTGGGAAAAGCTCAGAACTCAGTTTTCACTGCTTACCTTCTTTCTCTGGATTTCATTGTTTCCTAGAGCTTCACTATTTGTTTTTCAACTTCCAGGACTCATCAGCAGTGGAAAGGGTAAAAGTCCAGGGCCAGGTTTCAGTGTCTGCCTCCTCCCTTCAGGACCCATTGTGGTTGGGAAAGGATGCATGTTTGCATTTGGTAGATGTTGGGGATGAACCTGGGAAAGGATAAAAATTTGCTTTTTTTTTCCTAGGGGCCCATTGTTACTGGCAAAGGATTTATTGGAAGAGGATTAATGGTTGCCTTCCTCTTCCATCTTCCTCCAGATCAGAGAGTTTTGGGGGGTTGTCATTTTCCATATCCTTCATAAGGGAATGCTACAAGCTAAAAACAAAACAAAACAAAACAACAGAAACAAGAATATATGTACAAATGCATAAATGTCCATCATTTGTCAATGAGTACACATTTAAAAAACAAACCAAAACTTAACAAAAGCAAAAACAACAGCAAAATAGTCAATGAAAGTTTTTTCATTGTTTTTATGTCCATTGTCTGTGTCAAACTGCCTTTCAGTTCTTCACAGCAGGATGGTGTGAGAAGCTGTGGAAGATGTTGGCAGCTTGATTACCTGAGTAATGTCTTTAGATCTGTGTTGTTGTCAGCGAAGCTCCCCAGGGAATGGATTTGGTCTAGTTTTTCCCTAGGTGTTTTTTATGACTCAGTTTTCAACTTGCTTCTGGGTCTGAATCCCGCAGCATTCCTAGAGCACCACCTGTGGGAAGAGGGAGTTGGTCCTTTACCAGTTCTATTTTTGGGGGATGCTGAGGTTTTAGGGGGACTTCTCAACAGGGGTTTTCAAGGGTTAAACTCAGACACTCCCTTCTATTCAGTTTCTCCCTGTCACTGGTTCTGTTTGCTGTGGACTGCAGGGTCAGTGGAAGGGGTTAGTGGGACTCCAGCTTGCTCTGACCTCTCTGATCAGAATTATCCCCTGACAAGGCTGATTAAGCACTGAGCTTTTCTATTTTCTCCACCCTGCCCTGTTTGTCTTCCCCCTGCTGCTGTTCCTGCTCATGGATGCAATGCATTGTTTGTGGGAAGCTTTCTCTAGCTTTTTTGAATCTGTTTTAGCCCCAAGCAAATCAGTTGAGGAGCACTGAGTTTTGTCTGTTTCTGCACCCCAGCCCATTCCTCTTCTCCCTGCTAGTGTTCTTGCTTGTTCAGTGGAGTGAGCAAAGGGATACAGGCTTCTTTTGGCCTGGTTTGTAATGTGCGCAAGCAAAATGGCTTCATTGCCAGAAAATATCTGTGCCAGAGATTCTCCTAATTCTCTGGGCTCACTTTAGATCTCCTGGTTAGTCTGCTGGATTCATCTACAGGTTCTGGCCTTGAATTCGCAGATCTAAGCACCTGGTTTGAGTTTGCACCACTTTTACATGGAGGTATTTGCTGTTCACTGTGGGCAGCTGGCTGGCCATGCCTTTTTGCATACTAGTATGTTTGGCTGAATAGCCTCTGGGTTCACCCAGGGTTGTCTGCGCCTCAGATCCTGGGGTTTCCCAAGCCAAAATATTACAGCACTTGTAGATCTTTTCAAATCTTGTATTCCACCCACCGCCCTGCCCCAGCTTAGCTCCTAATCTGCTCCTTAGCCTTGTCTGGTGTACTCCAATTTTTCCAGCATTCAAGACTTTCTGTCCAATATTGATTATCTATGGATCTATGGATACTTAATATTGAGTATGCATAAAAAAGTGTTTTTCATCCCCATTCAACACATTGTTGATTATATCCCAAGTCACAGAGCTGTGAGAACCTCCACTTCCCACTAAACTGCCCTCCTGTTACGATATTAATTCTACAAAATTTACTGAGATTTGTTTTATCATTAGTGCATAGACAGTTACCATAACATTACAAATGTGCTTGAGAAGAATATACATTTCTTAACTGTTATATAAAGGTCACATTTGAAATTGTATTTTGCATGGTTTAAATCTTTACTAATTTTTAGTTTTGTATTTAAATTTTGAAAGAGGTGATATGATGTATTTCCCATATAATTCTGTTCATTTATGTTTATTTATTTATTTTTTAGACTTACAGATAAAGGTAGTTGATAACATTTATCAGATTCTCTGTGATTTTACTGATGGTTGTCTAGTGCTACCAATTTCTGAGACTCTGGTATTAAAATTTCCTCATAGTATTACAGAATTGCCTATTTCTAACTTTAATTCTACCTTTTTTAATTCATATATTTTAAGGTCTTGTTTTTAGTTTGTTTTTTTTTTTTTTTTTTTTTTTTAGGTCTCCTGTAGAGAGCATATAATTGGGTCTTCTGCTTTTATCTAGTCTTAGTGCGAGAATGTTTAGATTTATTATCTTCTGTTGGTTCTTTCCTGTTGATTTTGTCTGTTTTCTCCTTTTTTGCCTTCTTTTGGATTACTTGAATATTTTTATCAGAATTTTACTATAATTTACATATAAGCATTTTATCATCCCTTTTTTATTGCTGGCTCCCAGAATTACAAGTATAATTCCTTAAATACTCAAAATGTGTTAGGGCTAATGCTGGAACACTTAACAAAAATATAGTACTCTTATAACTATATAGATCTATTT